CCGATACGTATCGATTTTCCGCACTTTCGGCATTTCTGCACTTTCCGCACTTCTGCAGTTTCGGCATTTCTGCATTTCTTCAAGTCGATAAGTATCTATTGCTTTTCTGCAGATTCCGCACTTCTGCACTTTCCGCACTTCTGCATTTTCCGCATTTCTGCATTTCTTCACGAACGCAAGCTATGAACGCGGCCTTACTTCGCGGAAGCAACGTTCTACCTTCGCTGTGACGCACGTTATGAAGTTGATGACCCTCCCCTTCTAAGGCTCCTTATGGTATCTTATCAGCTGTTATCACGTCCTGCCACCCACCATAATGTTCCCATCCTGCCCCCTATCTTACTTCTTGGAACCAACGTCCCGTCGTTGCTGTGGCCGGCGCTATGAATTTAGTGGCCCTTCCCTAAGGCTCCTTATGTTATCTTATCAGCTCTTATCACTTCCTGCCACCCATCAATAGTGTTCCTGCCCAACCACCTATTGGGTTGGCGGGAAAGTTCTGTCACTCTTTTCAAATTGGGATTTCTTTTTATAGAGAGGCGTGTAAGATCAAAGTACAGCAATGTTATGCGGGGGTCTTGCTGTTTTTGGCATATGGATGCATCGCTTCAATGCAGGGAAGGGCGCGTCAAAGATTGCGAATCATATAAACTGGCCATTGAACTCAGACTTTCGAGGTTTCGCGTACTTTCTCGTCAGCATAATGACTTGATTAACGAGAGGGCAACTCGCGTTAGAGCGAGCAATGTCTTGATACACCATGCACTAGAGAGCCGTCCGCTCTATTGCCAAGGGAGGAACGGGTAGAATTTTTGGAAGTGGCTGCTTCAGGTTTGGAGGAGTCGTTGGCGGTAGCAGCGGAAATTCTTGTCCATATTGCAGAAGAAGAAGCAGGAATCAAGCGAGTGGTACTAATAGAAAGACCACTCTTTGATGTATAAGTGCTCACATTACCGTTCACCCCTCTTCAGGTAATGGGCAAATATTTTGAGTTCGAAAAAGTGACAGAACTTTCCCGCTAACCTAATCATCAGTTATCAATTTGAGATCTCTGTCGCTGTTTTGAAGGAAGTTATGAATTTCCGGTCAAACACACATACAGACACACAAACATTCACACACACACAAACACATACACACACCAACAGACAAACTTAGCGGATTATATATAGTAGGATTGTGCCCTATGAAGTGTGCTTGTCGTTTGCTGGAGGATGAACAACTTTTCCCGCGCTCGAGCACTCGTGGGCGTCCTGTGCAAGTAGTCTGGCACTGAATCTTCAATAGTAAGCTCATAACGTTTTTGCGGCTTTACGGTATCAAAGGTTCTACGGCCGTCAAAATGGCAACTTTGACGCCTCCCTAGTTGCCCCGCCCTCCAAAGCTCAAAGGCTATGTTCTGTTACCAGTTCAGTTTCTACGCCGTGTTCATTGTTTTTTTTTCTCACTATTAAATGGCATTATCATTGGCGGACGCGAAGAAGGGATTATTAAGCCCGAGGTGGCAGGATATCGCCTTGCTGGCATAAAACGAGCAAGTTCGGAGAACTCGTCCAGATAGGCTGCCTTCCTATCTCTTTACCTAGGTTGTTCTCCATGTTTTTTTTTCGCTTTTTTCTTCTTTTCTGGAGAGTTGTTTAGCGACTGTCGGTTTGTTAGTTGAGCGCCACTATTCACGATTTATAATCGCTGAGTTTGATTCAACTTCCTCATGGGTCGAATTATCCGAAGAATAGATGTGTGAGAAGTTTATTTACAGTTCACAACAAGTATGCTGTTGCAAGCACACTGTTATATTCGCCAGATGTCTTTTTCTTCATTGAGTCCCAGGCACCCAGACGTCTTTCTGATAGACGACCTGTCCTCGAGGCGTTTCATGAATTTCACCATACTTCTGTGGGGTTCGCCGCCATGATACCATATAGAGAGACGAGTCTGAAAAAATACTTTTTTAACGTGACCGTACTCAATTTTGGCCTGACAGTCTGACCTGGCGCACCTTCACCAACACTGTTAATT